TTTATTACAACTCTTCATTCATTCCAAATGTGCCCTTTTGTTTCTTCCTTCATGCCCTTTGCTTAGAACTCTTGTCCTCACCTCATCTTGTCAGTCTGCCAAGCTTCTGATACTCTTCCAAGCCAGTTCAGCAATACCTCATTCCTGACAACTTGGTGAGAGCCTTTCTTGCTTTCTTTTGGTCTTACTGGGCCTGGTTCTTACTTCTCTTGTAGTGCTCACTATCCAGTGCCTCAATCTGTTCTAGACTGTGCATATCCCTGGAGCAAGATTTTGTGTTATTGAGCCCAGCATAACACTTAGCAGAGAGCGGGTTCTTACTTAGTGTTTGTTGGATGAGGAGATGTAAGGGGCTAAAGGCCTGAACAAACCCAGTCCTCAGTTTGCAAAATAGAAAGGCAGAGAAGAGTGTGCCTCTCCCCAGGAGCCTGAGAAATACTGCTAGGTCATGAGGCACAAGGACCCACTAGGAGAATCCACTCTTAAATTGAAGTCATCTGACTACAAGGCAACTTAAGGTACCCAGACCATAGAAAAAATGCAGGTCAACTTTCCATAGCAGCTACATACTATCTTTATAATGTTCCCTCTGCCACTTTCAGAAGCCACTTGGGCCTACCCACTGAATTTATGTACCGACCTGACTATCCCCATCCCTGAGTGTCAGGAGGCAACAGGAGTCTGAAACTCCTTTCCAAACTCACATAGTCAAAGGATCAGAACTTCAACATTCCCCACTTTCTCTCAAGAAAGGCATCACTCTTTCTCAGGAACACCCTCCATTGATCTCCACTCTTTTCTGGCATGTATCTAAAAACCTTTCTGTAGCTGTCGGGATCCATCCTTCTCTTGGCCATTCACTGGAGAGATCTTACTTGTCTCTGTATCATTAAAATACTTGGAACCAGCCGGGCTCGGTGGCTCAGCCTGTAATCCCGCGCCTTTGGGAGGCTGAGGTGAGTGAATTGCCTGAGCCTGCGGGTTCGAGACCCGCCTGGGCAGCGAGACCTCATCTCTACAATAAATCAAAAAATCAGCCGGGCGTGGTAGCGCATGCCTGTAATTCCGGCTACTTGGAAGGCTGAGATGGAAGGATCGCCGGAGCCCAGCAGGTCGAGGCTGCGGTGGCCGGGAGCGGCCATTGCACTCCAGTCTGGGTGACAGAGTGAGACTCCAACTCAAAAAAAAAAAAAAAAAATACTTGGAACCGAGTAGATGCTCATGAACTAAACAAATGAGTTAACATATAACCTGGTTTAAATGAGGCCAAGCTAGTATTTCTCTCAAGCGTACAGAGACCCTGTCTGATGCCATATGCCATTCTTTAAGTTTCTTTGGCCTCTGAGAGCACAGAAGGCAGGGTGTTGCCTGACACAATTAAGTGCTTAAAAGCTCCATTTGCTTTTCTTGCAATAAATCTCTTCCTCTCCAATTACAGCAGAAGAAAAGATATCATAGACTGTACAGCTATACCAACTAGCCAGGCAGACAGACAAGGCCAGAGAGCCTATTGCTGTTACACTAACAATAGCCCAAACTCAACCCAACTGATCAACAGAGAGCTTTGGGCTGCTGGGAACTTCTCTAGATCAGTGAGGTATATGGCTCAGACACAGAGTTGACAACAAAGTGTGCCTATCCCCTGAAGTTTCTTTGGGAAAATCTGTGCTCAGAAATATTTAGGATTTTCTGGGAGATAAATGCAGAAGGAATGGAGTCTAGCAGATAGGTCTCCAAGAGGAACTCTCTTTCCTCTCATAAGGAGACAGGAAAAGATCCTGGGGAGCCCTGAGGGATAGAAAGGCAGCCCCTCCTCTGCCTTCAGGGGGCTCACCCTAAGGTAGTGAGCAAGAGAAGTAAACTTTTGATAAACTGTGAGCACAAGGAGGGCAGGGCCATGTGCCTGTGCCAGGCCTGGTTCAGTTGCTGAGTTTCAGCCAGGCCAATTAAATAATTGGTGTGAAGGGGAAAGGAGGGAAGCTACTCCCTTCAGGCAAACTCCCACCCCAAGAAAGGAGGCTCCATGCGGCTGTGACAACAGCAGCAGCAATAACAGGGCAGGGATCTCTTCCTCTTCTTCCCACTAGCTGAGAACTAATGCTTAAATTAGCACCTTGGAAACACCCAGATCAGCTAGTTATGCCTTCTCTCCCAGCTCTTGCCACTCCCCCAGGTCTCTTTTTCAAGAGTTTCTCTCTCAAGTAAATAGTTAAAAATAAAGATGCACTCCCCCTATAATTTATCTTTCCAAGTAAGGAATAGCCTCTGGATTCTTCCTACCATTATGGACGGGGGAAGGTTATTTAATGATGGAGCCCAAGGGACAGGCCTCTTTTTGGTCCAGAGGAATCAGCATTGCCCTGTTCCCTTAGGGCTCAGAAAGGCAGCCCCTCATCTGCCTTCAGGGGGCTCACCCTAAGGTAGTGAGCAAGAGAAGTAAACTTTTAATAAACTGTGAGCACAAGGAGGGCAGGGCCATGTGCCTGTGTTGCTAACCACTGTATCCCTAATGTCTAGTATAGTATCTGGAACAGAGCAAATGCTCAATAATTTCTGGTGAATCAATTTGCTAAATCAGTGGTATCAGGTCTCTATGATAGTATTTGGAAAGGAGAGCAGGGAGATATTGCTTAAACTTTAAATAGTTTATCTTCATTTCATAAATGGGAAAACAGTCTAAGGAGAAGAGACTTCCTAGAAGTCTCAGTAAATAATGGCAAAAAATGAAATAGGTCACAGTTGGATCTGAGCCTGGGACCCTAGTTTTTATAGTCTACCCAAATACCCCAAAGAATCATTTTGTCCTCTCTTCTGCCCTTTACCTCCATGGTATATTGTCTTGATTTCTTATGCCCCAAATGAAGGCTCCTGGAGAAACACCACCCAAGATTCTGCTGGTCTCAACAATACACAGGGCATGTCAGGAATTTTGGAGTGCCTCTAGACTACAACCTGGAAACAGAGGTCAAGAAACAGTGCAATGTGTATGACTCTCAAATGGAGGATAACTAATATTGTTCTTTCCATAAGACTCTCACTCAATTTCAACAAAGTACTCTCTTGCAGACAAGGGCTACTTTAGCCCTCAAGAAAAAATTCTGAAGGCAGCCACAGTTTTTCTAAGTACCTTCTTGCCACAAACACTTCTACTCCAGGGCCATACAGACCAGAAGCGGCTCAGGAGTCCTCTACACAGTCAAACCACTATTCAGAACTTCAGATAATAACAGAGGCACTAAAGACAACTGAGGGAGCCTAGTGACCCTATTCCTTCTCTCTTTCCTTGGACAGCTATTTCCTCCTTTCTCAGGAACCCCAGATGGGAGACAAGAACAAACTTATTGCTTCCTTCTCCTGATTCACTTGAATCTCGTCCTTCATCCACTTTCCCTTCTGGTTCTTGATTAGATGTGAAGAACTGAAAGAGACAATCTAGTTTGACAAGACAGCCTGGCTAGAAAGAGAATCCAGAAAGGGAAGTTCAGTCAGCCCAAAGTCCTTCTTTAAGTTCATGGGATGGAGTTCTCTCCAGGATTTTCTGGCTCCCAGATAATCCAATGAAGGCATCAGGCTAGGAAAGAGTCCTGCAGTACCTCTCTCCAGTTTAACATTGTACACTTCTATAACACTTATTTGTTTTGGCTTCTAGAACTGTCTAAGTAGTCACAAAAGGAGAAAAAGACCACTTGTCTCCTGCTAGGAAGCCACTAATAATTTTCTCTACCAGCCTCCAAAAGTTGACATAGAGGCAATGATGGTCACAGCCAAGGCAGCTCCTTACTTGCCCAAGAAGCTACAAAGCACAGCTGTCAGTCACGTGGTTGGCAGGGCCAAGGGTAGACTTGTTCCTGGCCACCCAGCCTAACACACACCTCAGAGCTTCAGAACTTAGACAGCCCAACTCAGCTCCAGAAGAGATTAGAGAATAAGGCATCCACACTTTCAGGTTCCTAGGCCACCTTGTCTCCTTCCAATTCATGCTCAGGATTCAAGAGAAAAAAGCGAGCACATCTTAGGTGTTCCCTCTCTTCCCCCTCTCTCTGAACCAGCTGGTAGGCCTCCACGTCCCCCACCCCGTTGATGGGCAGGCTAGCGAGTCAGGCAGCCCCCCGGGCGGTGGCCAGCGGGCATGGTCTCCCTTGGGCCTGGCCTCTGTGCACCCGCCTTGCCCTCCCCCTTTCATCCCCTCCGCGGCCGGCAGCGATGACATCATTCCTCACTGACTCGGGGACCGCGGACAGAAGGCAGGATCCGCGCCCAGCAAGGACTCCGGCACGTAGGCCTAAGATGATGGGGGCTCTTCCGAACGGGTGGGTTCAGGCGGTTGCAGCGTGGCCCTACTTCCTCTCCAGTCGGTTCCCAAGCGCTCTCATCTGCACCCCCGATTCTCCATCTCACGGCCGCACACTCTCCTTTCCGGTTCAGATGCCCCCAGCCTGGTCCGCCCGTGCACCCCTCCGGAGAAGAACGGAATTCCCAGGTTCTGACCGACCCCCTGCCCCCACTGGTCCCTGGCCCTGAACTCGCGTTCCTGTCCACGTCCAACGGACAGGCCCCTCCTCTTCTAAAAGCCTATTCCCAGTCTCTCTTAGCCTGTCGGCTCCCCCGCCCTAAGCATCACAGGCCTCTAGGGCTAAGCGCCTCCCTACCTCCCATCCCAGCCCCCTGGGCCTGCCGCCGGGATTGCCCCATGACAGTTCCTTTGCCATCCCCCGCTGTGGGCCTCCACTAGCGGTGTGCACCATTGTGCCCCCTGCGTCCCACCCGACGGCACAGCCTCCGCCGTTCCCCTCTGCCCTTACTGGCCCCTTTGCTCTCACTCCGAGTATTCTCCCACGGTTTTCTTGTCTTGCAAGTCCCCTTCCCCCGGCAACGCGTTTTCAGGGCTCTCTTTGCCCCATCCGGTGGCGCCCCCTCCGCACGATCCCCACGGCCTGTCTTCCTCCCCCTCAAGAGGCGCCCCCTCCCGGCCTTGGCCGGCCCGCCGCCCGCCCCCTCACCAGCGGCTGCATCTCCGAGTGCGCGGTGGGCACCTGGAACCGGTCGATCTCCTCCATCATGGTGCCGGCGGGCGAGCGGGCCAGGGGCCGGGCGCGACCGGGGACGCCGACAGGACCGCGCGGGGCGGCGGCCCCAGGAGCCCGGCGGGTGGTGCAGACTAGGCCGCCCTGGACCAGTCGGGCGGGCGGGCAGCCGGGCCAATGCAGGGGTGGGCGGGGGCAAGAGGTTCACAGGCTCGCTGAGGCCGGCGTGGCGCCTTGGGCTCGCCTAGCGCTACAGCGGCTGTGGCCGGGCCGAGCCGCAGGTCTAGCCTCGCCTCCTACTCCGCCGCCGCCTCCTGTCAGCAGCTCAGCCACTGCGGTGACTCGGCAACTCCACTTCCGGGTCCGGGACACCGCCCGGGTACTGCATTATTCATGAGGAGGCGGTGTCTGGGCACCCCAGCCCCTCCCATATGCAGGAGCTCCGAATGCGCGTGGCCGCCCGACGCATTATTTCTGAGAGGGCGGAGCTTAGTGGGGACCGGCTCGCCGCGCGCCCAGCCCCACCTCGTCCCCAAGTCGGCTGGAAGCGCCAGCGCGCCTGCGCCTTGGCTGCCGGTCGGTTGCTAGGTAACCGCGTCAGGGAGAAGTGGATCCTATCCTGCAAGGGCAAGGGGACCCACAACGACGCTGTCCCTAAAGAACCCCTGTGATTGGGAAGTGAAGTGGAAGAGAGTCCGGATTTCCTGTGTGTGGTGGAGACAGATACATTTTTTGTCTTCAGGAGAGGGAGCGTTTTGTAGGCTTTCTGGGGATTGAGATGCTTCCTGCTTCTGCGAAGATACCCCTTAAGCAACTTCATAGGCAGGTATGCACACCCCATCTGACTTCTCTTGATGACCTCTGATCTTTGCTGCCAGTGGCCACTGATCATACCTCTCCTACTGATCCTTGATCTTATTTTCTCTGTTGACCTCTAACCTCTCCTCCGTGAACTCTGGCAAGTGCTACCACTGACCTTTGACTCGGTCCTGCTCTGTCCCACTAATCCTGGTCTCCTCTCCCATACTACTCCTAGTCCACTGTTTCTTAGCTCTCTCCTACTTGCTTCTCCCTCATCATTCTCATCCCTTCACTCTACTCCCTCCACAGACTCATCCCAACCAGTTGATCCTCAACCTCCCCTCCTCCATTCCCACCAAACCATTTCTCATTGTCCCCACATTCTTGTTTCAGAGGAATTATTTATCCAACCCCTTGCTGTATGCCTAACACTGGGCATGGTAGGGACACAGGCCTTGCTGTTTGGGAGCCCACAGAGGGGGTGCAAGAAAACTGGACAGGAAACACAGAAGAGATTATGTGCAGGAGTTGGGTTTAGATTTTCTGTGCTGGGACACTTGTGAAGAAAGAGAAGTCAGGCAAAGGGGAAAAGGAGAGAAACATTTTTCCATCCCTGTCCCCATCTGCCTACTGCACAACCCAAACACTGGCCTCCAACTATTTCTAGAGCCTTATATCTCTCTCTTCTCTGTGAGTCCCCCTGGTCCACTGCCTGTGATCCATTCAGCTGTGTGACATTATGTTCTTATTACCACCTGGCCAGTTGTCATCCCTTCTCCTGGAAAACCCAAGAGTCACCATCTTTAACCCACTGAGCACAGAGTTCTCCTTTCCTCCTCAGCATCACCATGGAAAGTAAGGTAGTCCCAGCTTCTCCAGGAGCCCTGTGTGGTGAAGCAACTCAGTCCTTTAGAAATAACTTTTTCCAAGCCCTTCATGAATTACCACTCTGAGGTTAATGTGCAGTTTCTAGCTCTGTAATGGACTTCTATTTATTTATTCTAAATTCACCTCACTCAAACATGGATATATTGAGGTTTAGAGAGGAAATCTGTGACCATGCTATTTACGGCTTTACATATCTTGGTCTGTTCTTCTCCATATTAGCTTTGCTCTTCTGCTTCTTTCACCTGGCCTTCTGTAGCAGATGGACATATCTTTCTCGGATCTTGGCAGCCTTGGGGATGCTGCTATTTCCATATGGTCATGTCCTAGTTTTATGTCAGGGTTGAGCTATATTTTGAAGTTCCTGTACTGTGCTTGGGCCTACTGATCCCTTAATTTACAGGTAGTTTGTTTTATCATCAACATTATTGAAGTCTGATTTACATACAATATTAATAAAATGGATCATCTTAATTGTACATGTTGACAAGTTTTATCAAAGTTATGCACTTGTGAACCACCATCACAGTCAAGATAGGATACTCTATCCCAAAAAGTTCCCTGTGCCTCATCACAGTTACTTCTTCATACTCCCTTTCTCCCTCAGGTAACCACAGCTCTTCTTTCTGTCACTACAGATTAGATTGGTCTTTTCTAGCAACTTGCAGTTTGAACATGCCTGGGGATAAGTTTCTCCAGCCTATTAGGGGAGACATTAGGTACTAGTAGCATTGAGAGCAGAAAGAGGTGACAACAGATAGAAAGCAGAGAAACCTGGGTCAACTGGCCCTGCACACATCAGAACTGCCCCCGGGAAGGGAGGGGTGCTTTAGTACAGGGTAAATATTGGTGTGAGAAAAGATTGGGTGTGAGAAAAAGTTGGGTTGTGCAAGACTGTATTCATCATCCTCTTGTCTCAGTGAAGCTCAATTTGAGTCATTGCTAATCAGGTGTGGGATGATCTAGAAATGTGTGAGCAGTTGTCTCTGTCCTCTGGGATCTCAATTCAGTGGGGAAGAGAGAACACAGACATAAAAAGATAAGGGAAGATGGGATGCCTGAGGATGAAGGGGAGAGAAGCATGTTGGTTGGAGCAGCAGAAAGGCTACAGGGAGGAAGCAACTTGGACGTGGATGCCTGGAGTGGTGAGAGAAGGTCAGGGTTGGGTTTATTAGGGAATAGACAAGAGTTTAAATTTCATTTGTTCATGTCACTCCACTGATCAGGCCTTTTAGTTACTCTCTGTTGCTCTCAGGATAAATACCAAAAAGTCCAGTTTGTTTGGTATGGCCTACAAGGTCCTGCATGGTCCGGCTTCTGCTACTCATCCTACTTCAGATCTCACTGTTGCTCTGTAGTTTCTACAGTCCCAGCAAACGGAACTGCCCTCACTTCCTGCAAAGTGATGTTCACACTCTTTTTTTCCTCTAGACCTTTGAAACTACTATTTCCCTCTACCTTCCTGGTACAATCTTTTCTGTCTTCTTCTGCCTGCTCTACTCCACCCTGGTCCAAATCCTTCATCTCCTAGTCATTCAGATCTCAGCTTGGCCTTCTTATTCTCCTACAAGGGATTACATGGATCTGTCTTCTGAAGACAGGATAGGGTGATATACCCACTAGACCATAAACTCTGTTATGGCAAGGGTCATGTCTGTCTTGTTCATTGTTGATTCCTCTGTCCTAACACAATACTTGGAATATATTAAATTCTGAGAAGATGAGTTGAATATAAATTCTGAATGCACCCTAAGTTGTTCTTTAGAAATTCTCATCTGAGTGTGTTTGAAGGATTGGAAGGGGTGAGATGAGGAGACTAGTGAGGAGTGATAACAAGTGATAACTGTATATAAGCATGTTTTTCTGGATTCATATTTATATCTGCTTTGGCAATAGGGCTATGAATGATTTAAACTTGAACCACAGGTATCCATTCCTCAAGAGCTTAGTATTGGAGACTAAGAGGACTAAGAGGTAAAAAAATATTGATGATGTAAATATTCATACAATAATTATTTATTGTTATTTGTACTAGTATTGGTGATATAGCAAGAACAAAACAAACCAAAATCTCTTCTTGTGGGGCTTATCTTTTAGTTATAGGTAAATAGGTGCCAAGGAGAAAAATAAATCAGTGAAGTGGACTAAGAAGTTCAGGGAACCAGAAGATTATAATTTAAAGAGGGTGGTCAGGCCAGACGCAGTGGTTCATGCCTTTGGGAGGCAGAGGTGAGAGGATTGCCTGAGCCCACATGTTTGAGACCAGCCTGGGCAACTTGGTGAGACCTCATCTCTACAATAAATCAAAAAATTAGCCAGGAGTGTAGTACGTGCCTGTAGTTCCACGTATTTGGAAGGCTGAGGCGGAAGGATCAACTGAACCCGGCAGGTTGAGGCTGTGGTGGCCATGAGCATGCCACTGCACTCCAGCCTGGGTGATAGAGTGAGACTCTGACTCAAAAAAAAAAAAAAATTAACCAGTCGTGGTCTGGGCATCAGATGAGACTCCTGCTCAAAAATAAATATATAAATAAATAAATAGGGTGGTCAGAGAAGACTTCACAGAGGTGACGTTGGGGCAAAGGCCTGAAGGAAATGAGAGTTAGCTATGTGACATGGTGGTGGGAGGAGGGGAGGTCGGGGGTAGAGGGGCGGGGGGATGGGGATGAGGAGGGCACATTCCAGACAGATGGCATGGCAAGTGTAAAGTTCCTGAGATAGAAACCTGCTCCACATGTTCTGGATCAGCAAGGAAGGGAGGGGGAAAGTGGCAGAAGATAAGGTCAAAGTGGTGCATCACCCTGCCTCATAGGAGTTAATAAAATAACCCATGGCATATTAAATTGGTTATGATGGAGCTCCATGAATCATAATTTGTAATTAAAGTGTATGAATGTCAGGGACCATAAACCATGACCAGCTCAAAACATCACTGGTAATGCCCCAATAGCAAAGTGTCCTTCCTGAAAATTGCCATAATGCCAACTGGTTGCATATATACATGTGCGGGAGGAGCTTTGCAACATTGCCAAACATTGCCTGGCAGCCAGACTTCTTAGTAGAAAGCCGAATTAGAGTCTTCTGTGAACTCCAGTTAAAAGCTAATTTTAGTTTATGACTAACAAATTTTAGTACCCCTTTATAACTCAGTTGGTTACCATAAAAAAAAAACAAAACACCAAAGTCTGTATTTTACATCATTTGCCTGTAAAAGCCAAAGAAAAGACCTGCATTTTGGATCATTTTATGGTCTCTCAAGAGGCTCTATGGGTAATACTTTTAGAAATATTGATCTCGATGAGGCATAACTAGGGCAGGGGAGAGTGGGCAGGACAGAGTGCAAGGCCAAAAGAGAGTTTTGGATGATTCAGAGATTTTGAGTCTGGTGATGAAGCCTGGGATCCAGAAAGGACAGGAGGGGAACAGGATCTAGGGGATGTTGATGTGTCCAAAGTAAGATATCCTTACTCTTGTGACCCTTCTCCTTGGTGTCATTCTTACACCAATCTTCTTCAAGCCCTAGATATGCTCTTTCAGCCCTTACTGCCTAAATATCTCTCAAATCAAACCGCATTTTCCATATTCATTGCCACCTTCCTAGCCCAACCTATAATTATCACTCACCAAAAATGCTGTAAAAGCCTTCTAATGGCCTTCCCCTCATCCACTCTTGCCCTTTCCAATTCTTTCTCTGTACTGTACCCAGAACAATTTCAAACTGTCAATCTGTTTACACCATTTCCTGCTGAGACCCCTTCAGTGACTTTCCATTGTTCTTAAGATAGGGATCAAAATTTTAGATAAACCTTCCAGAGGCCTGAGTCTCTAAAATTTTTTTTTTTTTTTTTTTTTGAGTTG